TGTAAGATACTCTTAATCTTACACGGGAAAAGACCCGAACACACCTAGACCTACATACCTGTACCCGTGAAAATCTACATCTCAGAGGCAGAATTGGAGGGCAAAATTACGTTTTCCTTACAGAAGGAAAACCTTTCTGAACAGCTTCGGGCTAAGCAACAGGGATCAGAGCAAAAAAAAAAAAAGCGACGGTTAAATCTCATAGCCAAGTTCTCAATTCAAAGAAGTTTCTGTGCTCCATTTCAGTGTATTTGCCAAATCAGAATGGAATATCGGCAGCAAACTTATCTTGATGTTCAAGAATTCTCTGTCCAGAGGTACCTTTTGTTCCAATCATAAATTCCTCTTGGGTTCTATTAAAGTTGTAAGGTCGCAACCCTTCTGCGAATTCAAAGCACAAGAGTAGCAGGCCTCACATTCTGCAGGCTTTATACTTCAATCACTCATGGGAGGGGAAGCGGGGAAATGGACCCACGCGAGGTCAAAGGCAACAATTCTTTTATAAATAATTCTGAAAATAAATGTGCTGTCCTGGTTTGAACTCCGGGCAGTTTTTGACAAGTTTTTAGCAGGTTACAGCATAAAGCCTACTATTTATTTTGCTTTGAACTGCTTCACTTAGGAACTGCTGTCCGCATCAAAGAAGGATGAAAGCTCTGGGTAAATGTATTTACATATTTCTTACCCACAAAACGCTATTTGACATTGTGACTTGAGAGAGATTAGAAGGGAGCCAAGTCACGCTGAGAGCCAGCGCACCCTGTAGAGCCCAGCTTTTCCTATTAAATTAATGTGTGTGTGTGTATGTGTGTGTGTATACATACACACATACATACATACATACATGTTTCAGTGCCTGGCAGGGATTTATGCTGACAACTAAACAGGAACATTAAACACAAATATGAGCTCCCAAAATTCCCACCAACATTACAAGCAGTTGTACAAAACTGATGCCTGTTTTCAACGGAGGGTCCAGAATTAAGGCTACTGTTGATTTACAATCCATAGAGATTTACTCTACTACTTGGTTCCACTGAAGTGAAATACATACAGCCGCTAAATTTAAAGCAATCCCCATGGTCAAAGTCTTCTGCAACTGATCCAACGTGAAAGTTGGCTCAATGCACGCACTGTTAGGTCCTCTTAGGTGTAACCATGATTTGCTAAAGGAGCCGTCACGAGCCCTACCAAGCCTTCAGGCCTTTGCTTGTGGCGAAACCAAAGCAAAGCAACCACACTGAAGCTCCGAATATCAGGTCAGTCTCTTAAAAAGAGTTTCCAGAAGGAGCACCTAGGGAGGGCTCAAAAGTCCTCTGGGCGTGTTGGGATGGCCCTTGGTTCCTAAACTCCATTACGAGGCCCTCCGAGAAACTTGGAAAGCTCTTTCCATCCCACAATGCATTTCCCCTTGGCAAGAGAACCGGGCAATTTCCTGCTCCCCTCCTAGAAGAGCCCTTGTCCACCATCTGTGTATCGCCTGGAATGGAGTTCTCGTCCAAGATTAACCGGCTAAGATCAACCTCCTTGCAGCCCATTATCGGAAAACCCTCCTTGAAGGATCCCTGGCCGTTTGGCCCCACTGACCTTAGGGGGAAGGGAGGTGATGGCCACCTGGTTGTTTTATGCTGGTCAATAGCGAGGAGCTTTTGTGCAGACACGCAAATGTCCCTGGCACGCTGCCTAAAATTCCGCCATCAGAGACGACCAAGGGCTCCGTTCCTTCCCTAGATGGTCCTCCGCTGGCAGGCGCCATGTCAAAGGCCATCCAAGGCACTTAGGCTTATGACAGAGGCATGTCCACCGTCTTTCACACCTCGGGGAGCCTTGACATCAGCTATGGAACACGGTGTCTGTTCCCTTGGAAGAGCTATGCTTTTCTGTCCGGCGGCTATGCGGATTGGCGGCTGGGTGTCCTGCAGAGGATCGGTCTGGTCACTGCAAGATGGACTAGACACCGAAGATTTACGTCCACTTTTCTTAGCGAGGCAGGTAGGCCTCACACCTTCCCCTGCCTTGGGAAAGAAAACCCATCGTGTAATCTAAAGCCTGCTTTTTTTTCTAGAAGTAGTCACGGCTTTCCATCAGCTCCTTTTTCAGATGGTTTTTTTTGGGGTGACACAACCGCTGCTCTCCACTGGCTGTGCTACACACAAGACGTGCCAGGTGACCAGGGCTTTGGCAGTCGGCCACATCCAAGGCAGCCACTTGGATGGGCTGGGAGATTGGGGAGGAGAGTGGATTATCAGGCCTCCAGGGGCAGCACAGAGGGGCCCAGTGGTCTCTTCCCTACGCTGGTCTGAAGCCCTACAGAGAAGAGCTGAAGGCCACTGTGAAACCTTCCGTGGCTAACAATTCTGGCCACAAGGCTTGGCGAAATGGAAGGAGCCTGTTTGGGGGGGTATACTCTGTACAGAGGAAAAGAGCGCCATGGTCAGAAACCGCCCGCTGATACTACAAGCCATCGGGAGGAACTACAAATGAAGAGCCAGTCTCTCTTAAGGGCATCAGCTTAGCAATATGATTATGCAACTCAGGAGTTTCCAAACTTGGTAACTTAAGATTTGTGGACTTCAATTCCCAGAATTCCTCAGCCAGCCGTGCCAAGTTTGGAGAGCCCTGATGTAACTCATCAGTACAATACTTCAGTTCGGAGTTGAACTGAACCAAAGAAGCTTCTTGGGTGAGAAGTGGAACGTTTTCAGGAAGAAAAAAACAAGCAAGAACGTCCACTTGCCTTTTTGGAAAAAGCACCCTGGATTGATTGAGAATCTCCACAGACATTTAAACTTAGAAGGGAACCCTATGTAGACAAAACCCAGCTTTTGTTTTCTTCTGCTTACTTTCCAAGCTTTAAATGCACGTCAAGAACTAATTCAGGCTTGACAGTAGCTCAAAATATGGAAGCAACACACAAACCCACCAAAAAAGCATTTGAAAATCCATTATTATGTAGTAAATAAAAGTTCTCACCAGCTACTTCCACGATATCACCAGGGACGATGTCTCTTGCTTTTATCCTTTGTACGCTTTTTCTGTCTTGTCGATAAACTTTCCCCATTTCAGGTTCATATTCCTTAAGAGCTTCAATGGCGTTTTCAGCATTTCGCTCCTAAAAACATCAGGATCAACAGCAGGGGTTCAGTAATTCTACATATATATTGTTTTAAAAAAAACTACCGCGCTGAGCAGCTGGCCTCCAAGTTTGCCGTTTAATAAATAATCTAGGATCATCCGCTGGCATCGTATTGCTGCTGCTGCAGCTAAGCCGAGGGAGCAGCCTGCAAAATTTCACTGTCAAATGCACAGGCTAAATGCTGCAGTTTTTCTGGTGTGCATAAAGCCAAAAAGGAGATAATCCAAAAGCTGAGGTCCCTTTTAACTGCGGATTCTTATCTCTCTTAAAACAACTCAGATTCAAAGTGTACTTCTTGACTAAATGGGTAACTGATAAATTTGACAACTCAAAGAGTTACAACTCGGTAATTAAGTTCCTTTATACTTTCTCTCCTTGCAGCATTCTCCAGCAGTGTGTGTTCATTGTTCTGATTGAGAGGCCAAAATTGCAGGGGGAGGGAGGGAACACACACAACTGTTCCCACAACATCAACACATTTCACACTCGTGACTTGCTAACAAAGTGCTTTCTATCAACACAATACGGTGATAGAGTTGGGATTTTGAGACCAGGACCTTGTAATGCCACATGAGCATTTCCTCAATTCTTTTTGTAAGAAGGAGCCCTAAGGGCTTTTGAGACAACACAACTGCCCCTTACTGCTAAAACCTTTTTAAATTATTAGTTTGTTGTGAAAAGGCCAGCAGACAAATGAGAAACATCTGCCTGTGGTTTCTGCTGTTACACTTGGAGATGTGGAACCCAAATTAAGTGGAAAATATATCCATCTAAAAGGAACGTATGTTTGTGGGTATTTCGCTTGTCACAGACAGGAGATAAAGACTAGGGAGGATAATCACGAGAAGGTGGTTTCAATCTCTTGCTTTTCAAGTGAAGAAATACAATTTTTAAGTCCATTTTCAGAAGCAAGAAACATTAAACTGTCACCAACGTTAGCAGACAGATGATTAGTGAATATTACAGCTTTTTATAGCATTGTTCTATCATAACAGCTACATTTTCATCTGAGTGCCGGAAGAATTCTTCACTCAGCTCCAAGAATTTTTCTTGCTTTTAAAAGGTGGAGTTCGTATCAGTACTGGGTGGTGGTGGTGGTGTGGAGGGCAATAATTTGTCTTTTTTAATAGACATAAATCTAACAGGAAAAGATTCTCAGCTATTCCAATGCATCAACTGTAAATTAAATCGCTCTAAATTCTAAATCGTTAATTTAATGGGCAGAGGCTTCAGGGTTTATTATTTTTCATCATTTAAAAACTTCCTCTCTCTTGAACTCCCATACCACCTTAGTTGACATCCTCCAGTTCCTATGGCAACAATACCCTACTACGAAAGATGAATTATGGGCAAATTATGACTTTCTCATATGACCAAGATGAAAAAAGGAGGTGGGGAATAGGGTATATTCATGCCAGAAATGTCACTCGCATCTAGGAAGCAAGCTATTAATATTCAGTACTGTATAACTTAGTGGCAGGACTCAGCCACAAGTATTGAACTGTTATGTCCCACAAAACAAGAGCCCAAACCACTGTTGGCAGCAAGCCGCATCCACCTACCCTTTTGCAAAGGAAAGCAGAGGTCAACTCAGGCTGCAGGCTGGGGAATTCTGGGAATTAAAGTTCACATGTCTTACACTTGCCAAGGTTGAGAAATACTGCTCTAATACGCTATTCTCGTAACTTGTTCTGATATTCTCTCATGGAAAATTTGGGTAGGAATAGAAGGCAAACGTGGTATGTGCCCTGATACAAGGATATATTTTGGTGAGTGCAGTGTCTTGAGTAAATTGCACGGGGTGTGTCATTTACTGGATATACAGAACATTTCCCAAATGAATTAAAATGCTTGGTGGCTCTGAGTTTTCAGAGATTTAGCCTGAAATCTAACCCACACAACCTTAATTTCTGTCAATGGCATTCTAGGGTCCCTTTTCTCTGACAAAGGGTGGAACTCATCCCTGCTTTTACTAAGGAAAGATACAATTGATGGTTAAGGCATTAAAAAGTCCAAAGTCTCTTTGCTGGACTGAATTAGATACACGGTTATTTGGATCCTGTCTTATCTTTACAACATCCAGCAACTCTCTAAGAATGACAAAGGTTTAACCTAATTTCGGAGCTCATCTCCGCTTTCAACTTTTTCTTAATAAATATTATGGTGACTCTAAGCGACTTAAAGCAACCTGCCAAAATAGCACATGTGTTACAATGACTTTTCCATTTTTTCGAGCGCAATTTTTTCTTTGCTTACCTGCCACACTCCCACAATTGCATTAGCAACTAAGATGAGTAAGATTACAAAAGGTTCTACAAAGGCTGTGATTGTTTCTTCTCCTTCTTCAAACCAAGCCAACACCTGCAAGAGAGATTAGATAACTCGGTGAAGTTACAGGCATGATTCGGTGGCATGTTCTGCGCGACAACTTGAATTTTAGCCCTACGTTTATTCTGTGGGTGGTTTCCCAGATCGATTGCGTAATTCTAAAATGTCCGCTGACTCACTTGAGCGCACCTGAAAAGCAAATTTGATTACCAGGAAGTAATTGCCTCACCTGCGCTTTTCAAGTAGCTCTCTGCTTTTAAATGTATTTGTGGATCAGATTAGGCCTGTCTGTTGCTTTTTGTTTTCAAAACAAATGGCGCTGTAAATAAATCCGATTTGGGTTAGAATAACCCGACAGGAACGCCACCACGGCATTCCTTGTTCCTAAATCACCCCTTCCTAAAGAAAAGCCTACGTGGCAATCGAAGGAGCTCCCCTTCAAAATCAGGAGACATAATCCGTGTGGGTTACTTAAAGATAAAAGCATTTAACAGAGAGCAAATTCTCCACTGGTGTTTTTATGCTTGGTCAGCTTGCCAAGAATTGAATGGCAGACAGATTTGATCTATCTGTCCACCGGGCTCTTAGTTAGCGTTATGGTCTGCTGCCCACCCCAGCGCCATTTCCAGGAGCCGAGAATCTCCTTTCTATTTCAACTTCAGGCTGGCTGGCTTCCGAGATCTTGAGTTTTCCTGATGGCAAGAGATTCTGTTCCCTTTCAAGACTCATCAGGGGGGGGGGGGGGGGGGGGGGAGCGGACATGTGCTAAGCCACCAAGTCCTTTCTTTGGGATCATCTAAGAAACCAACATTTGATGGTGTCTTTTACAGTGTTATTCCAGCCACTTGGCTCAACCAAGCTCACTTGTAGTAACTAAATGGCTTAATCCAATATATGATCCCATCATTTTGTAGTGAACAGCAGCTTCCCCGGATCAAGAATGAACTACATCTAAAGCCAAAGAGAGTTAATAATTAAGGCTAAAGGGTCCCTGAAACCATTACTGTGGGAGTCTCCCATAGCAGGGCTCAAAGTTAGCTTGCATTCTTTCCTGGTTTACAACAAAAAGGGTGTTAATTTTAATTAAGAACCACACAGCACACTAAATAATGGTTTACTGAACCAGGATGTATTTTGTAGGAAGCAATTGGCTGAGGACACACAGCAGTCTAAGCCATAACCAAGCCAGCTTTACAGAGGATTTGCGTGTCTTGGAACTCACCCTAAAATATACCTCGGAAGACAATGCTCTGGAAGACGTCCTTTAACTCTGGGACACCTCTCTGAAGCTAACTCATTGTTCTGACAGCATGACAATATTTCCACAAGCTCCAGTACAGCTTCGTAACATCATTGTTTCAAAAATCAAAAAGGAGTTTAAACATGTTCTTCTTAGAACAAAACACTGATCAAAGGAGTTTAGAAGTCCTATACCCTGGGTTTTTTTGTACTTGCTGAAAATTAAGCATTCTGGAATATTTTCCCCAACCGTCTGAGTTACTCAGCATTAGGAATTTAACTGTTAAGAAAAAGAATGTATATGCCATGTATTCTTCCTGTCCCCTCCCGAACTTTCTGGTTCCAAGGATCATGTTACTGAAAAAGGCACACAGGGTGACGGACCAAAATTGACTCGCAAAATGCCAATTTAGGCCTTATGAGTAACTGAAAGTGACTTGGTAGCTTGCATCAAAGGCTGCAATGATTCATGAAGGGCTAATATTATGTTGGATATATTGAGCAACAGGAAGTACAGAGCAACTGACTTGAAGAATGCTGAAATCAGTCTTTGGAAGTCATTCAGCACAAAGTCATTGTTCAGATCTCTTTTAAAGAAAGAAGGCCACAAAAGAAGCAATGGGGTGGGGGGAGATTCAGAGCAGCTTCTCTACCGCTTTCCCTAAAGGGGTGACTCAGTGGGTTTCCAGATGAAAGGAAATTGGGACAAGGAATAAAAAGCCTTTAGGCTGGATGAGCAAAAAAAAAAAGTGGTAAAACGGGAGAAAATATCTGGTTTTTCTGTTTGATAAAATGGTAGATGGTGCCCCGTTAAACACAAAGCTGTGTGAATTCATACAGCACAATGAATCCTAATTCTTGGGTGGGGGAGGTAGACTAGATGACCTACAAGGTCCCTTACAACTCTGCTATTCTTGATTTACAAAGCGCACCAAGTCCAAAGTAAACATCAGGTTGCAGTTCTGTAAAATGTGTGAATGGAAACACCAGTTTTTCTTCTTACTGGAGCTGAAGTGTAAAAGGCAATTTCGAAATTTGCAGAGGACACAGATATCTGCAGAGCCAAGCAAAAGGCAAGTCCTGAACCTTTTAGAAATCAGATGTCCTGTCTTGACCCAGAGTGAAATAACAGAAAGAGCGGATTTAATGTCCCAAATTTGACTCCCAAGTTCTGTAAAAACAAGTGCAGCAACTGTCATTTACCCCTCTGATGAAACTCCAACAATGAAGCTTTGATGCAGGTATTCAATACCTTAATATTAGTCCTTGAATCTACAACACTGAAACAACAGATTTTTCTCTTCTACTACACAATCCGTACTGGCCATCTATACCAGAGGTAAATCGTATGCATGTTTTTCTTTTGATTTTTAGTTCAGGAAAATCCTTTTTCTTCCCACTTGAAAGCGCACAGACCGGACTTAACTAACTCTGTCTCTTTGAGATGGGTAAGACCAGGCAATCCAGGAGCTGAAATGCAACACAAGGGACTGGCTATGTAAAAAGGTCAAAGCAATTTAGCAGCCCAAGTCTACAAAGCATATGGTGAAGGGGAGGGACATTGGTCGGTTTTTGAAATGACAATCATACATCAGGATACCGTGTCATTAGGCATGCCAACAAATTTCAGCGTCAGGAAGCTCCAGGATCTATATGTACTGTAAATCTAAGCCACAAGTGAATTTTCAGGACACCAGCAACACCGATTTTCGGTTTTAACTGCAAATGTGACAAGCTGCCATACTGATCTGACACTGCACTGGACTTGGAGCTAGCATTTTCAAGGACAATTACCTCCTCTGAGGAATTTTCTTTGCCTGAATCTTCACACTGAGCTACATTTTGAGTGTTTCATGTGGCTTCAAGATACAAATTTACACCAATTGCACCTTCCCCTTCTCTTCAAAATACAGCTACAAGTAAAAGCAGAGGTCTTCCCAGGTAAACATGCAAAAAGTTAAAATCCTGGAAAACAGCTACTGAGCTCCATGAAGCCAACTTTAAGCACGATACCTAATTTTGAGTTACTTTGCAGTACTTGACTCTATAGGTAATGTAAAGCAACTAAATGCTGTTATGCAATTTACAGAGAGACATGATGTCTAATGGTATCTAACAGAAGGCATAGGGAACATCTGTTCTTCCTTCCTTTCATTAAAGTGGAGTCATTAAAGTTAGTTTTTCTCTATTACATCCCGGCTTGTTTTGGTCCCTTTGATGAATTTGGAGGAGCTTATTAAATGTTAACATTGTCCTCTTTTCATATCCTCTGTAGGACCATCTGGCTCCCTTAGGAGCTTACTGACTTTGCCCATATTTCACTTAAAATTAAAGCAAGTGAATATTTCCTAGAATAAATAATCCTGACAAATTATTCCACATAAATCCTTCAGGGGGGATTGCCAGCCATCAGTCTAAGTTATTCCCATGTTCTTATGAGTCAACTCTCCCTAACAAGTGTTGGAGAAAGATAAAGCTGTTAATAGAAGGAAATGGTGGGAACTGTTTGCTATAATGCCAAACTATTAGATACAGAGACATCTTTGAAATAAAGAAAACCACCAAGGCTACGCACCATTTAAAGACTATGCAAATTCTAAGAGGTCTGCATTTTTTTTCCATTGCAGCCCTAAAAGTAAAAATCCATTATAACAGAGCTTGTCTAACAGCACAAGTATCCAAATTCTCACGTTTCCGAATAGCATTAGGCTAAAAAATGGGTTTAATGGATTATTTTGTCACTTGTCTGAACTCACTCAGGGGCACAAGAAGTTCAAACCTTTCATTAAGATAGCGGAAAGTATGGTACATTTCTCATTTAGTTTTGCTGATGGGGAATATCAGCAACCATTCTTCGGGGGGGGGGGGGGGTTTGTGGGTTTTTTGGCTTAAAAGGCAGGGAATAAATTAAGGGAATGAAATAATCGTGCCTTTTGGAGGCAAGATTGATGGGAACATGCACACCAGTTGCTAGGGAACACAAGAAGGAATGATCTTTTTAAGCAAGGAGCGACTTTTACAGACTCAGACTAATATTTCCTCTTGGTTTTATCACTGAGGTTCATGTCTTTACAATCAAAGATTTAGCTGAAACGTGCAAAAAAATAAGGGATCAGTTAATGTTGTGCAATTAATTGGGTTTCTGCTTTGCAAATGTTCCTTTCCTTCCCACCTCATTGCAATTTCCTTTGACGTAACATTGCTCAACCTTTGGCATTTTGAGATGCGTGGACTTGGCTGAGGAATTCTGGGAGTTGAAGTCCACGCATCTCAAAATGCCAAAGGTTGAGAAACAACTCTAAAGGATCCAACCTCTTTTCTTTCTTTGTTAAATTCACTCTAAGCAGAAAAAAGAAAATGAAGAGTAGTAGCCCTGAACTTAGCTTCTTGCTATATATATTATAAATGTGATTAGCTGCATGTTTTATCCTATTCAGATTAAAATCTTCCTCTGCACAGCTATCTGGGAACAAGTTTCACTTGAATTCTGTCATCCTGGTATTAACGTGATTGTTTGCTGGAGTCACAAGTAGGAGTTGCTACAAAGGGGATGATTGAATATCAGCCCAGAGAAGAGAGATAATGCCAAAGGTGGAACGTGGTGTCTGGATGCTTAGCGTGAAGTAACGCTTATTCGACTTTATTTCTGTTAGACGAGTAAGATGATCCCTCATATTCCAATAAGTGAACCTTATCTGTGTTGCATCTGTTATTCTTCGGCCTCCGAAGAACAATTGTAGGGACTGGCCTTATGGTTTCGACCGCCACACTTGAAGGACAGAAAGTCATTTTTGTTCAAATAATGACTCGTCCTTCCCTCTGCA